TTCTTTCTTTCTTTCTTTCTTTCTTTCTTTCTTTCTTTCTTTCTTTCTTCTTTTGAGACAGTTGAGACAGGCTTTCTCTTTGCAGGCCTGCAGTTCCAGAACTTTTGAGGTGGACCAGGCTTTCTCAAACTCACAGAATGCCTCATGAAACACATGAGCCACCATGTCCGGCCATATACTTTCTTAATAATGAAAATTGAAAGTTTGAAATTTTTTAAAACTTTTTTAAAAGATTTATTTATTTTTATGTGCATTTGTGTTTGGCCTGCGTGTATGTTTATATAAGGGTGTTGGGTCCCCTGGAAGTAGAGTTACAGACAGTTGTGAGCTGCCATGTGGGTGCTAGGAAGAGCAGCCAGTGCACTAAGCCATCTCTCCAACCCTGAAAGTTTTAAATTTTGATCAAATCCAATGAATTGTGTCTTATTTTTTTCTCTTTTATAGTTTTGTATCATAATTAAGAAACCTTTGCAAGCCCAGAATTGTTAGAACTGCCATTTGTTCTGCTGTGCTTTGAATGTGTCTCCTCCAAGTTCGTCTGCTGAAACTCAGTTGTAAATGTGTTACTACTAAGGGATGCAGTCATGAGTGAGGAGGAGTCTTTATGACTGCGATTATTGCCCCTTTGAAAATAGTAGCTGTGAGGGAGAGGGCTTGCTGAGCATGCACACGGCCCTTCAATCCCCAGCACAGACTACAGAAAAAAAATGTTTTTGTTGAATCAAGCTGTCTTGTTCCTCTGCACTAGAGGAAAGAGCTGGAAGGTTCCATCTGTGAGGAGTGGGTCCTCACTGGACACTGAATCCCCTGCGTCTTCCTTGGGCTGGATTTCCCAGCTTCTAGAACTGTGAACAATATGTTTTTGTTGTTTATTAATTGCAAAGTCTATGGTATTTGTTATAGGAACACAAATCTACTAAGACATAATAATCATTTTTTTCTTGGTATTTTTGAGAAAATAAATAAAAGCAAAATATAGGAATTTTAAGTGTTCAGTTCAATGAACTTTGACTGTTTTACACTCTTTATATTAGGTAACTAAAAGCTGATTACAACTTCATAAGCATGGAACTAATCTGATTTCTGTCACTTTTTCATTTTCTATTTTTAACACTTTTAAGACAGGGTCTTGCTATATTTCTTTGTCTAGCATGGAACTTGATATATAGACCAGGCTAGCTCCAAGCTTGCAGCAATCCTCTGCCTTCCAAATACTGGTATTGCTGCTGTGAATCATCATGGCTCATCAGTTAAGAGCTCTGGCTAATCTTCAGAGGACCCAGGTTCAATTCCTAGCACCTGAGTGGCAGCTCACGACTGTCTATAGCTCCAGTTCCAGGAGTCTGATGCCCTCTTTTGGCATCCAAGAGCACCAGGCACGCACATGGTACACAGACATACATGCAGGCAGAACACCCGTATGCATGTGCATAAAATAATAGTCCTTGAAATAAAGAGAGAAGTGTAGTGTCACATGTGCAGCCTCACTTTCGGTGTCCTCTGCTTTATTTTAGGGTAGATACAACAAGAATTGAATACTCCATTCCTTTAAGAGAAAACTGGGCTCTACCATATTTTGCGTGCCAAGTTGCTGCACTTACAGGCTATTTAAAAAGAAATCTAAACACTTATGCAGAGGTAAGACACACATCTGTTTTCTACATCACAACTAATTCTGATGTTTTGCAAATGTGGCTCATGTTTGGTTTTTTGTTTGCTTTATTTTGTTTTGTTTTTGGAGACATAATCTCTTGTCATTCAGGCTGGCTTTAAGCTCATTATGTAGCTGAGACTAGGCCTTGCACTTACTCCACTGCCTTCATGTAGTGGTACAATTGTTCACAACCGTGCTAGACTATGGTGCATAATTTTAAAGTCATATTAGGAGTTTGTTTATGTTCAGTGAGGCATGTCACTATGCAACATGTAGCTAGGTAGTTGTGATATCATGTTTTTCCTGTAATCTGATGGCAGCCAAATAATTTTAGGAAGATAGATGTTGTATTGCTTTTAGTGTGGTTATGTGACAATACATGAAGAATATCTCATTTTGGAGGTTAATCTAGCCGAGTATTGTTTTTACCGTTTCTCTTACTTCGGGGACATGTATGTCCTTTAGTCATGCAAACCTAAAGAAACGTTACTGAAGATGCAGTGGTGCTGGAGGACGGCAGTGGTGTGAACTGCGATGGCAGTGTGGCATAGTCTTTCGTTGCCTTATCTGTCGTCCCTGACTGCAATGCAGTAGGCTAGTCAGAGTGGAAGGAAATATTCATCTCAGATCATTTAGATCTTAATTTTTTGTTACTGTTATTGCCATAACCCTATTGGCAGTTGAATGATGCCTATAGATTGAGCCACAGAATAACTTTAGTAAGACGCATGTCTGCAAGCCGGGCAGTGGTGGCTCACGCCTTTAATCCCAGCACTCGGGAGGCAGAGGCAGGTAGATCCATTGTGTGTTCGAGGCCAGCCTGGTCAACAAGAGCTAGGTCCAAGACAGGCTCTAAAACTACAGTGAAACCCTGTCTCGGGAAAAAAAAAAAAAGATGCATGTCTGCAGAGGCAGTTAATTATGTCACGGTTGACTGGAATGTAGCAGCCCTTTGGCAACCTGCCTGTCTTGAAGAGATCAGAGAGACCAAACGAGTCTACTAATAATAAACCTGACTGTCTGGAATACAGGGCAGGGATAAGGGCAGGAGTTGGGTCCATGGAGGCGAGCATGTGCAAGGCCTGGAGGTTCTACCTCAGCACCATAACCAAACAGAAAGCACTGAGAGGAATTAATTGGATTCCTCCCTCTATTTTAACTCTCCATTTGTGCTTACATAACAAGAAGTAAACACACCCTGTGGTGGTGGTGCATGCTTTTAATCCCAGCACTCTGGGGCCGTAAGCAGGTGGATCTTTGTGACTTCAAAGCCAGCCTGGCATACAGAGCTAGTTCCAGGACAGGCAGAACTATTACACAGAGAAATTGAAAAACAAACAAACAAAAGAAAAACCAAAAAGAAGGAAAACACAATAGGAAACTGAAAGGTAATATTCTTTTTACTCTAGGTCCGTTTACATTGATGGCTGTTGTGGAATATTATTTTAATTGGGAAAAATGTGTTACATTTGTTAATGTTTATGTTGTATAATATTACTTTAATTGTGTAAAGGTGTGTTATATTTGTTTAATGATGTAAGGATGTGTGTTTATGTAAAGATGTGTTTCACCTTGCCTGCCTAAGGCACCAGATTGGTCTAATAAAAAATTGAATGGCCAGTAGGTAGGCAGGGGAGGAACAGGCAGAGAATAAATAGGAGGGGGAATGAGGGAGGAGGAGGAGAGAGTGAGTGAGGTGCCTGGGGCCACTGCCACCTGTGCTTTTTCCTTCTACATACTGGGTCCTGGTGTCACCCAGGTTGTCAGAGCTGCAGTGTCTCTGGGCAGTCAAGCTCCACACAGCTCCATGTAGAATACCCCAGTGTTCACACCTGAGTGTGATCTATGGGAAATCGCTCTGACAGATAGGAAATGTGTTCATGTTATCTACATGAAGATGAAACATGCAAATTCAACTGTAAAGTGCCGTGTTTGGGGTTCTTGTCCTGCTAAAAGGAAGAACAGGATATGTTCAGACTTATAGCCCAGGCTGGCCTTAGTCTGCTTCCAAGAACTGAGATGGGGAAGCACAGTCCTGAACATGGCTGATGAGTAGAGCATTGGAGGAAAACAGGCCAGACTTGGTTAGGAGCAGAGTGTAGGCCAGGCATCCCCAAACTCCTGATAGTCTTTAAGAAAATAAAGCCAGCACAGATGAAAATAAAAATATTATTTTAGGACAAAAGAAGCTTCTGTATTAGCAACAGCTCACCACCCACTCCACTGATTGTGCACCAACTTCACCCCCTTGGTTCCACCCCTGTGTAATACAGGACCAGAGGACGGGTGCTGATGTGCTGCTATCTGTGTGTTGTGAGGATCCTGTTGGTTTCGGTTTATTTTTAAGATGGGTTCTCTACATAGCCCTGGATGTGTCCTAGAACTGACTGTGTCAGACTGATCTAGAACTCATAGATATCCACTTGCCTCTGCGTCCCAAGAGCTGGGATTAGAACCTGCACCCCCACTGCTGGCTGGCGTTGTGATTTGTAGCTTCAGGTGCTGCGACTCCTTGGTTCACTGTGTAAATCTACTGATCTTATCTGACTTTTCTGTAGCGGTTTTGCTACCTGTTGATGAGTGCCTCTACGTACACTTTCATGATGGTGTGGGAGTACAGCCACTATGTCTTGTTTCTGCAAGCAGTCTCTCTCCTGCTGCTGGACGTCTTCTCGGAGGAACAAAGTGACAAGGTAGTGTGACATTGTCAGATGAGGAATTTAAATGCAAAAACTAGTGATTTTACAGCATTGTCTGTCTCTCAAAACCTCTTTTCTGTATCTCCGTCCCTTATTCTCAGCTGTTCAGAACTCTAATGAGCATCAAGGTTTAAATTATTTGAGCAGAGAGAACCTAATGTAAAGATTTAATAACCAGGACTGTGTGCCAAGTTGAGTGGCAGCGCACTGTGCTTACCATGCAGAGGACCCAGTTTAGTTGTCTCACCAGAGCCCTCAACCCTTTCCACTTTCCAGAACAGTCATTAATCAAGAGCAAAGTTGTCTTCATTGGTTAGTTGTAGCGACCACTGGAAGCAAGAGGGATGGAGCACATGACCAAGTGTTGGAAATTACACCTGTCTTCCCAGCTTCAACAGGAAGAACTGTTCTGTTGGGATCGAGAACTGACAGTCTTAGGTAAGGTTTGGAGGAAGTGCAAGCCAACAAGAAGAAGAGAGCGAACATCTCCTTCCAGCTCTGCACTTTCCATGAAACTATCCTGTTGCCAGAGCTTCATCTAGAAAGGAGAAGTGCAGACGGAAGGGAGAAGTGGGCTGCGCTGCTGAGGGTTCCTCTGCTCCTGCAAACACTTGTATGGAATTAGCCAAGAATTGCACATTACCAACACCAGGAGACTCTTATACTGAGGCATGCAGGCATCTCCAAGGATATCGTGACTTGTTACAGTGAAATCTCTTTTCAAATTTATTTATTATTTTTTTAAGTTATCTTTTATTTTGTTTTTCCAGATAGGGTTTTTCTACTTAGTCCTGGCTGTCTTGGAACTCTCTGTAGACTAGGCTGGCCTCGAACTCACAGAGATTGGCCTCCCTCTGCCTCCCAAGTGCTGGGATTAAAACCATGTGCTGTCATCACCACCAGGTGCCTTTTTAAATTTTTTTGAGACAAGTTCTTGCCGTATAGTCCAAACTAGCCTTTACTCATAGTCCTCCTGCATAGCCATCGACGTTTGCTGGCAGTGTTGCGCCTCACCTACACAGAACCGACTTGATAACAGAAAAACAACCCAATTCAAGTATGGTGTTAAACAAGGTTCCTTAGCTTTCACTTATGATTTTAGAGCTCTTTACTTTTCCCATAGAATGCTAAGAAGAAATTGGTAAATTCATTATAAACTACAATGGTTAAAATACAGATTGAAGCTGGGCCATAGTAATGTACATCTTTAGTCCTGGCACTTGGGAGACAGAGGCAGGTGAATCTCAGTGAGTTCAAGGCCAACCTGGTCTACAGAGTGAGTTCCCATAGCCAGGAACTCTGTCTAGAAACCAAAACCTACAGATTGAATATTTCCTGGCATTACCTTAAAGTATAACTGAGCATTTGCTTAGAATTATAATTTTTAAAATTTATTTTATTCTCCTCTATTTTATTTTGTTCCAACAGATTTACGAGGTGTATAAAATCTACATATTTTCCCTTTTCCTTGGGTATTTACTACAGTTTGAGAATCCAGCTTTATTGGTGTCTCCTTTATTGAGTTTAGTAGGAGCGTTAATGCTAATTAAGTGCCTTCAGGTAATTAACATTGCTGTTTTCAAAAAAGTAGTCTTATGTTAGAGCATTAGTTTTTATAACTCACTCCTTTGTTCATGTAATGTTTTTCTTTTGTAGCTGAATGGGAAAAAAGGAACTTTTGTGGCCAAAGTAATCAAAGTGTTTAAGTTTTATTTGGTATGTACTCTGCCGCTGACCTTGAATTTGATAATGAAGGTAAGGAACTCTGAGATTTATTTCTAGATTAATTTGAGTAGAGAAATCTATTAGGCCAGCTTTAATGAGAATGATAATATAACAAAGTAATAGAGTACTTAAAAAATTATCTTCAGTGACACAGGGAGTTTGAGGCTAGTGTCCTACATCAGACTGTCAAAAACCAAATGAATCAACAGAAAGTTCTTCAGGAGCAGGGATTATTTGAATCAGCTTTCCTAGGTTGTTATTTTCATACTCTAAAAATGCCATTTCATTTTTGCCTAAGCATGCAGTAAATGTGTTCATAGTAGACATTGTGTGCTATTTAATTCACCATTCTTTTAATCAGGCTATGTTTTCTATCATTAGTAATTGAAAATAAGTATATTTAAAGCATAGACAGATCTAGATGGTGGTGGTGCATGCCTTTAATCCCAGCACTCGGGAAGCAGAAGCAGGCAGATCTCTTGAGTTTTAGGCCAACTTGATCTACAGGGCGTATTCTAGAATAGCCAGAGCTAGACAGAGAAACCCTGTCTCAAAAAAACCAAAGAATAAAAAAAAAGAAGAAAAAGAAGAAAGCATTAGGCATAGGAAGCATTCTTTGTTCAGATGATGTTTTCTGTGAGAGTGGTGTGTCTTAAGTTCCATGGTGCCTGACTGCCTGATTCTCTCTCTTCTAGACATTTGTCCCACACAAAGAAAATGAGCATGTGCTAAAATTTCTTGAAGTAAAATTTGGACTAAATGTGACTAAGTAAGTTTCACATTTGCAAGTTCACCTAATCTGTAGCACCTAGTAAATAAAAAGAACCCTTGATGGAGGGAGTGTGTGCCTTGTTACATGTCACTTAGAAAATAGTTTTGGATATTATATAGAAGATTACTTTTGGGTTTTGGTTTCCTGGTATTGAGGATTGTCTCCAGGGTCTTGCGAATTATAGGCAAATTCCTATACTACCCCAAAACTATAGCCCTAGCTCTATAGAAGAGACATGCCATTGATATTTGGAGTGGGGGGGGGTGGTAGTGCATTGGCCTAGTATGCACAGGGCCCTAGTTCTACACCCAACACTGCAGGAAAAACACATGGTCAGCATGCTTGACACATGATTTGAATACCTCACACATACTATAAATAAATTTCTAGTCTCCTAAAAAGTAGATACACTTAAACTTGTAACAGCATTATAGTATTTTTATTTAACAGTCTTCACTGTTGTATATGGATATGTTGTGTATGTGTGAGTGAGCATGAGTTTGCCACGGCACATGTCAGGATCAGAGGGTAGGTTCTGTGAGGTAGTTCTTTTTATTTTTTTGGCCTGTCTTGGAACTAGCTCTTGCAGACTAGGCTGACCTCGAACACGCAGAGATCCGTCTGTCTCTGCCTCCTGAGTGCTGGGATTAAAGGTGTGCGCCACCACCACCACCACCACCACCCATCTAGAGAGTCAGTTCTTTTCTTCCACCAGGAGTCCTAATGGTCCCACGGCCGTTCAATTCCAAAGAAACACACAGAGGCTTATTAATTATAAACTGCTTGGCTTGTTGCTCAGGCTTATTATTAACTGGCTCTTATAGCTTAAATTAACCCATAATTCTTGTCCATATGTAGCCAAATTGCTTGCTATGGTTTCTCAGGTATTCTCATCTTGCTTCCTCTGCATCCGGCTGACAACTGTATCTCTGCCTTTCTTCTTCCCAGAATTCTCCTAGTCTTGTCACCCTGCCTATACTTCCTGCATGGCTCCTGGCCAGTCAGTGTATTATTAAACCAATACGAGTGACAAATCTTTACAGTGTACAAGAGCATCTCCCACAGCAAGGTCCCATCTTCTAAAGTTTTCCTACCTCCCAATGATGCCGTCCCATTATGAGTCCATCAGTCCATGACCTAATCAGTTCCTCTGACCTCCACCCCAGAACACTGTGCTGTTGGGAATTAGGTTTTCCAGCCCCAATCTTTTCGGGACTTGGTTTACAAACTGTGACTCTGGTAGGAGAAGCAACAGTGTTACCTTGTGAGCAGTTTAGATGAAGGCGGGTGCTTCGTAGTAGTCAGACCTCCTCTTCATGGACAACTGCGTCCCTGCCGTCATGACAAGTAGATTTAGAAAATGTGTTTTGTCTCCGTTTACTTGAGATTTTTAAAATACCTTTATGTTCAGTGTGTTTAAAGCACATGTGATTCTAACACCATACATTTTGTCTCTTGTAGGAATTTTACACTGAACTGGCTGCTCTGTCAGGAGTCTCTCCAGGCACCGTCTCAGGATTTCTTTTTACGATTGACACAATCTTCCCTGTTACCATTCTATATTTTAGTGTTAATTATTTGTCTTCTTTCTATGACACAAGTTATATTTAGGAGGATGAGGTAAGTGTTTATAATAATCAACTGTATTGCTAATTAATGCATTTTAAAGACATTAACTACTCTAAGTAGTGCATGAGTGTGTGTGCCTCTGTTGGTCTGGGGCTGGGCATTGATAACCCAGGGTCTTTGAGCATTGAGTTTGTGCTTTGTCACCAAGGTGTACTCAGATCCAGCTATTTTTTGGAGACCGGGTTTGGGACTTGGGGTGCAGTGCTATAGCAGAACTTAGCTAGCCTGCCTGGGGCCCTGGGTTCCACTCTTGAGGAAAGGAAGAGAAAGGATCTGCTGTGCTGCCGCAGGTGACCCGAGCTTAGATTCCCCCAGCAGCCCTCCTGACTCAGCATCCAGGTCACTGAAAACTGCAGGTGTGTGCCATCTCCATCTCAGCACTGTTGGATTTAGAGCCTCTGACTCTGCTCTTCTGTTGTTGATCTTATAAATTAATTAGGAAAGCTCAGGTTAACGTTATTCATGTAATGCAGCTTGGATGAACGAATATGTAAATAATAGATTAAGCTTTTGCAGACTTACTAAAATTTTTATTGAATTAAAAATAATATATTTGACTGGGTGTGATGGTGCATGGCTTTAATCCTAGCACTTAGGAGGCTGAAGCAGGCTGATCTATGATTTTGAGGCCAACCTGATCTACAAAGCAAGTTCCAGGATAGCCAGGACTACACAGGATCACCCTATCTTGGGTGATTGAAATAGTTTTATAGATATTACAGTACAAATCACACTAGTACTTTCATTTCAATGTAATTATATAATTGCTGTCAATTTTTCTGAGTATGATAGGTCAGGCCTATAATCCAAGCACTCAGGAGGCTGAGCTAGGAGAATTGTGAAATCAAGGGCAGCCTGCACTAGGCCACATAGTGAGAACCTGTCTCAAAAAATGAAACAAAAGCAAAAGCAATAACAAAATAAAAACAACTGTACGTATGTTAACTATATTTAATACATTATTAAATGTATTTAATAATTTCAAATATTACTGATTGATATATTATTAACATGTTTGTTTTCTATCCTTTATTAATATGAATATATTAATATATTCATTTATAATAGCATCATTGTTAATAATTATGTGTATTGATGTGTTTATTATGCTAGAAAGATAGTTGTGTATGTTTGTAGTATGCTTGTAATTTCAGCACTTGAGAGTTCATGGCCAGCCTAGCCTACATACCAAGTTCAGAGCTAGTCAGACTACAGAAACTCCACTGCAAAACCAAAAATAAATACTTACCAGAATTACTAGTAGTTAGTTCCCAGTCAGTTTCCCTGCTTGTAGAGTGCATGCTCCCTTACAGGCTGACAATACATACAACACTTGTTTAATGTATAAAGACCTACGCTTGGTGACCCCAACGCTATAATAAAAGAAAAAAAGTATCTTGAAGCCAGGTGTGGCAGCTCATACCCGTACTCTGAACTCTGTATAGCCTCGAGCAAAAGGATTGCCTGGAGTAGAGACAAGCTTAGCTACAGAATATGTTCTAGGTCCAGCCTGAGCTAACGGTGAAGCCCTTCATCCAAACAACAACAAAAACCAAGCAAACAAACAGAAACAGGATGATGGTTAGGCGTGGCTCCTTAACTCTGCAGTCCAAGTGTAATGGTTAGCATTACTAGTTCAGGCATAAGGGATCTTAGAGAAGGAGAAGAAATTCAGTGTTAGGTATAGCCTTCAAAGATGATAATGTATCTTTGAATTTCCATGTATATTTTTCCAAACTGTTAAAAACATGTTTCCTTTATATAGTGGTAAATCCCAGAAAGAAATTGTAACTCTTGAAGATGGAAGAATTGGAGAAAGGCCGGAAATCATTTATCATGTCCTTCATACTCTTATACTGGGTTCTCTTGCAATGCTGATGGAAGGGTAAGTTCATTTGTTTATCAGTTATTATAAAACTGTCTACGGATAGCCTGTGAGTACATTTAAAAACAGTTTGTGAACTTTAATCCTAGCACTCGGAAGGCAGGGGTAGGCAGAACCCACAGGGGTTCTGTCCAAGACAGCCAGGGAGGGCTACACAGAGAAACCCTGTCTCAAAAAAACAAAACAACAGCAACAAAAATTACAAACTTTTAAAATATAAGTAAATTTAGCAAAAGTTTTTGTTTTGTTTTGTTTTGTTTTTTTGGTTTCGTTTTTGATTTTACTGCTTTGGGTTTTTTGTTTGTTTGTTTGTTTGTTTTTAAAGATTATTTATTTATTTATTATGTATACAATGTTCTGCCTGCATGTATGTCTGCAGCCAGAAGAGGGAAGCAGATCTCATTACAGATAGTTGTGAGCCATCATGCGGTTGCTGGGAATTGAACTCAGGACCTCTGAAAGAACAGCCAATGCTCTTAACCTCTGATCCATCTCTCCAGTCCTCTGCTTTGGGTTTTTGACACAGAATTTCTCTGTATAGCTTTGGAACCTGGCCTGAAACTTGCTTTGTAGATCAGGCTGGCTTTGAACTCACAGAGATCCGCCTGCCTCTGCCTCCTGAGTGCTGGGATTAAAGGCGTGAGCCACCACCGCCAGGCTTAACAAAGATTTTTATAATATGGCAAACTATATCAATTATTCATTTGTTAAAACACTCTTGAATGTCTGGTAAGATTCATGCATTGTCCTAAATGTGTAAAATACAGTAGTAAGTGACGTGAACCCAGGGTTTCTACTTTGAATAACTGCTGACTAGCGAGCCAGCAGATGTGGATTATACAAGCTCAAGTCATAACTTGACAGTTGAAGGAAGGGTGAATGGGCTGTGGACGGCTGAAGTTAGGACAGAACTGGAAAAGCTGCTTGAGGGGGCCTGAAGCGTGAGTAAAGATGGATTTGTGAGCAGAAGAGAGAAACGCACTCCAGACAGAGGGACTGCACTGCCAAGCTCTGGTAGGAAGAGGTGAGGAAGCAGGGTGGAGGACAGTGACCTCTGGTGGCCTCATAACAGGGCTGGGGCTGGGCTGGGGAGGGCTGAAGTGGGGTACGGTTCTTTTGTTTTTTTTCCCCATGTCTTCATTTTGTTTGTTTGTTTGTTTTTTGAGACAGGGTTTCTGTGTAGCTTTGGTTTCTGTCCTGGAACTCACTCTGTTGACCAGGCTGACCTCAAACTCACAGAGATTCCCCTGCCTCTGCCTCCTGAGTGCTGGGATTAAAGGTGTGCACCACCACAGCCCAGCTGTCTTCATTATTTTTATTGATTGTAAATGATAAATGAGGGGCTGGAGAGATGGCTTAGTGGTTAAGAGCACTGCCTGCACTTCTAAAGGTCCTGAGTTCAATTCCCAGCAACTGCATGGTGGCTCACAACCATCTGTAATGAGCTCTGGTGCCCTCTTCTGGCCTACAGGTATATATGCAGACAGAATACTGAGAATACTGTGTAGATAATAAATAAATAAATCTTTTAAGAAAATAATAAATGAACCCTTGATGCCCTTAAGTATAGACAAGCCAAATGTTTACATTTCTTTCTAATTATTCTGTTATTGTGTATTCTTAAATTTGCTAAGGGAAGATTCTGCACGCAGTCAGTTATATGAACTTTGTAGATGTGCCTGCTCGGACCATCAATGACCTCACTAGGCAATATTATCTTGTGGGATTACTGTCTTATGTGCAGCCTGCTGGCCAGAACACCGTCATGTAGCTACTGTTATTAATATTCAGATAAGTTATGTCACAGTCACGTTGGAGTCAAAGACAGGTTGCTTTCTGGGAGTTCAAAGCCTACATATTGAGTTCTAGACCAACCAGGGCTATATAGTGAGACTGTTTCTTAATAAGGAAACAGAAACAACAACAACAACAAAAACCCTAAAATCGACATCTCTAATTTATTTGTAAGTTTTTGGTTTTCATATCTCCCTTATGCCTACTTGTAAATAAATTCATACCAACATGTTAATAAACTTCATGAAAATGTATTCCTTGACCTAAGGTTTTGTTGTTGCTGTTGTTTTTTCTCGCCTTGAACTTGAGAGCCTCAAAAATCTGTTTCCCCTTTTTGTGCAACGCTAGGGATTTAACCCAGGACCTTGCACTTGCTAGGCAAGCAGTGTCCCTCCGACCTGTGCTCCTCGCCCCGGCAGAGGTTCTAGGTTTTTATATGTAAGTCAGGTTTAGCAAATAGGATGCAAGTGCAGTGTTCAGCTGTCCTTAAGGCCGTCCCTACTTTTGAAGCCAGCTACAAGTTTAGAAGTTCCCCAAACAGTCTTGGTTCTATTGCTAGAATTTACATCCAGAATAGTCATTGTCTTCATGTTTGCTGCTCATTACAGTGAAACCTGTCTATATAACGAGCAGAAGACAGAGACGCACAGAGTGGGGTCCAGGAGAGACATGGGCATAGGGCGCTAGTTATCCCCATGCTGTGGAGGTGCACGGAACAGAGCGGACATAGTGGTACACAAGGGACACAGCTGTCAGTCAGGGAAGCCCGTCTGTGTTCAGTTGTCACTGGTGCTCACAAGAAGTTGGCCACGTGTGTGGCTAGCCTGTTTGTGAAGCCTCTCCAGAAATTGAACTAATACTCTGTGGCCCAGGAACCCACAATAAGTCATGTTCTTAGCATAACTCTTATTCTTGGCCTGCCCATCCCATCTCCACACAGACATCCCTTTCAGGCAGGTGCTTCCTTCCTAGGAGTAGAGGGCAGAGGCCGGAGCACTCTGTGGAAAATTAACATTGATTCACAATAAGTGAGATGCGTGAAAGTAAATATGACGGAAGGTAATTGGTGACGCTTTTTGCATGATGATTTATTATTAAATTGTAATTCAAGTGACTAGAGATACGATTGGTGATTAAGAGCACTGGCTATTCTTCCAGAGGTCCTGAGTTCAATTCCCAGCAACCGCATGGTGGCTCACAACCATCTGTAATGAGGTCTGGTTCCCTCCTCTGGCCTGCAGGCTTGCAGAAGTGTCAGAAGTTCAAGGTCATCCTTGGCCTGGCCACATCACTACTTCCTTTCCCTGACATTGATTTTGAAACCTAACCTAAAAAATAAAGTTAATAAAATAAAAAGAATGAAAAGGAAAGTCAGATATGATAGCTCATGCAGTTAGAAGGCTGAAGCTGAGGGATTACCTTGAGTTTGAAAACAACCTGGGCTGCAGGATGAGATCCTGTCCCAAAAACCTAAGGAAAAGTCAGTCACAGTAGCTCCTGCCTGTGATCTCAAATGGCTGGGGAAGGGACTCTCGCTAGTAAATGTCAGCCTGCATAGTGATTTCCAGAACAGCCTGGACAACTGCGGGAGAGCACCCTATCTCAGAAAAGAAGGAAAGAGAGCTTCACTTTGAGGTACACACCTATAATCCCAGCACTTGGAGGCAGAGATATGTGCATCTGTGAGTTCAATGCCAGCCTGGTCTACACTATGGGTCCTTGTCTCAAAAGTAAACAACCATTTGGAAACTGATCTGTTGCTAACATTGGAAGTAAAGATTTTTCACTCTGCGGTAATATTTGTAGCTAGTTAAACAGAGTTTGGAAAGGAGAAATCAGATAATGATGGTTGTAGGGTGCATGATATGCTACTCATTTTGATGTGGAACTTACTTTTTTCCAGCCTGAAATTCCTCTGGACCCCGTATGTGTGCATGCTGGCAGCGTTTGGTGTTTGCTCCCCTGAGCTATGGATGACACTCTTAAAGTGGCTTCGGCTAAGGACTGTGCACCCCATCCTGCTGGTGAGCTATTGTTTCCTGTGCAGTACTTGTTCACCCACCAGCTCTGTCAGATAAACACAGCAGGTGACCTGTCGGATGAATACCTCTGACGGGGACCCCACTTGAGAAAAACCGTGGGGCTTTACACTGACTGCGAATGACTGGTTGTTTCTGTCTGCAGTTTTTCTCATGTGCCAGCCATGGGTATTTTTTCACTGCTTGTGTGTTTGTCTTGGGAAAATAGTCCATCGACTGGGCACACATAGAGCCATGAATTATCAGGAAGATGATTTCTGCTAAGAGCTGTTCTTCCACTGGGTGGTAGTGGTTCACTCCTTTAATCCCAGCACTCAGGAGGCAGAGGCAGGTGGATCTCTGTGAGTTCAAGGCCAACCTTGTCTACAGAGTGAGTTCCAGGAGTGCCAGGGCACCACCATCCAGCTATGACAAACATTTTTAAAAGTTTTCTTTTCTTGTTTTTATTGAGTCCAGGTGCTTGGCTGTGTAGTGAAGGGTGATCTTGATCTCCTGGGTCTGTTGCCTTCCATCTTCTCAGTGCTAGGATATCAGGGCTAGGGCCTGAATCCAGAACCTCCTGAGTGCTACCCAGGTTCTCCACTGGCTCATCTGTGCCCCTGCCCATGTTCTGTGGTTTGTTCCTTTGTTTTTGAGACAAGGTTGGATGTAGCTCAGCTGTCCTTGATCTCCTGGTCTTGCTTCCACACCCAAGTTCTGGGCTCATAGGTGTGCACCGCCACCCGAGCTTTTAGTTTTGTTTTGAGACAGGGCCTTTCTTTACAGCTCAGGTTATCCTCGGACTCACAGCAATCCCCAAAAAGTGGAAATACAGTCATGAGCACTACTACTCTTGGCTTATAATTTTTGGTTTCAACAAATGCATTTCCATTTATGTACTTACAAAATAAAAGGGAAAAGTTGAAATGAATCCGTAATATGATATACCACTAGAATTTCTTCCTAACTGCTCTTACTCCTAGCTGCTCTTATGGATGATAAGAATCATTTGTTTGTGTGTATATATATGTGTGTGGGTATAAACACACACACAGTTTTTTTAAAAAGAAAACAAACTCTTTTTTCATTTTACTTACCAGCCCCAGTTTCTACTCCCTCCCCTCCTCCCCACCCCATCTACTCATCAGAGTTGCTAAGGTACATTGCTTTGGGGAAAGTCCACGGCCCTTCCTATTATATCTAGACTGAGTGAGGTATCCATCCAAAGACGTTTGTTTTTAAATATTTAAGATAATATTGTAGCCTTTATTTCTTTTTTAACTGTATTTTTATTTATTCTTCGTGTTTTTCATGTTATGTATCTCAAACCCATTCATTTCGTTATCCCTTCATATCCACCCTTTGCCTTTGCAATCCCCCCCCCCAAAATAAAAACACATACTGTTTAAGAGAAACTGCTGTTGCCCTGTGTCATGGAGGTCCTGCAGCTTTGGTCTGCAGGGCTGGTCCCTTTGCGTGTTCCCACAGATAGTAGAAGAGGTGTACCTTTATTTCTACAAGATTTCCTACTGTGTTATTAAGGCCAGCGCCAAACCCAGTGCCTTCCGCCACCTCAGGCAGCAGCACATGCAGGCCCTTACACAGAGCTACACATGCCTATGTAAATTAGAAAAGTCTTTAAAAGTTTTATATATATATATAGGGGCTGGAGAGATGGCTCAGAGGTTGAGAGCACTGACTACACTTCCAGAGGTCCTGAGTTCAATTCCCAGCAACCACATGGTGACTCACAACCATCGATATTGAGATCTGATGCCCTCTGCTGGTGTGCAGGCAGACATGCAAACAGAGAATATTATAGATAATAAATAAATCTTTAAAAAAAGGTTTTACGGGCTGGAGAGATGGCTCAGAGGTTAAGAGTACTGACTGCTCTTCTGGAGGTCCTGAGTTCAATTCCCAGCAACCACATGGTGGCTCACAACCATCTGTAATGAGATCTGGTGCCCTCTTCTGGCCTACAGGCATACATGGAGGCTGAACACTGTATACATAATAAATAAATAAATCTTTAAAAAAAAAAAGGTTTTACATGTTTGTTATTTGAAATATCACTATAGAAGTAATGCTTTCCAGTTTGTTCCATGAGCCAGAGTCACGTAACTGGCCTCAAATCCTCAATCCTCCTGCGTATCTCAGTGTTATAAATACAGGCAACCATAAATTCACATCAACTAAGCATTAACTTTTTTAGTATTTTAAAAGTTAATTATTTAGAGATAGAATCTCTCTGTGTAGACTAGACTGACCTTGAACTTCCAGAGATTCCCCTGCCTCTGGCTTCAGAGTGCTGAGATTAAAGGTGTGCACTACCATTCCCTGAAAAATTACCTATGTGTATATGTATGTGCTTTAGTGCATGTATGTGCACATACATGCCTATGGACATTAGGGGAGGGTAATAAACAGTCTGCTGTGAGCCACCATGTTGTTTCTGGGAACTGACCCCTGGTCCTCTGCAAGAGAGGTTAGCACTCTAACTGCTGAGCCGTCTCTCCAGCACAGCATTGCTTTGGTTTTTATTGAGATGGAGTCCCACTGTGTAGCTCTGGTTGGATTGGAGCTAGTTCTGTAGACATGGTGGCCTTGAATGCAGTTTCATCTACCTCTGCCTCCCAAGTGGTAAGATAAAAGGCGGTGTTGCCATGTTCCTTCTCCCTTTTTGATGGTCTGCCTTAATCGCAGACATTTTACCTCAGTGTGTTTGATTCGCACTCATCCTCACTCACCTCCCTTTAGACCAGATGCATGCTGACGCCAGTCTTTCTGACTGAACGGGCTTTGGAGCCTGTCCTGGCACTAGCTCTGTCGACCAGGCTGGCCTCGATCTCACAGAGATCTACCTTCTTCTGCTTCCTGAGTGCTGGGATTAAAGACATGAGCCACCACCGCCCGGCTGGGATTGAATTTTTAACTATAAGGATATTTTGTTGGTCATAGAGTCAGTTTGAATACCTCTATATATTCTAAAATGTTTACCCATAACCCTTTTTGCTTTACTATTTTAGGCTCTTATTCTGAGCATGGCTGTGCCCACCATTATAGGTCTTAGTTTATGGAAAGAGGTAAGAAAACTGAATTTTTACTTTATGAAAATGTACTTATCTATAAAGTAATACATGTATGTATGTGTGTAGGAAGCTTCTATCAAGACATGGAACTAACAAAGCTGATTTTATTTATTTATTTTCTAGACAGGGTTTCTCTGTGTGATAGTCCTGACTATCCTAGAACTCACAATGTAGACCAAGCTGGCCTTGAACTCAAAGAAATTTACCTACCCTACCCACCCTCCCACCCCCAAGATAATAGTGAGGTTTTTTTTTTTGTTTGTTTTTTCCTCAGTCATTGTGCCTATAATTTCTTACGACATTAACCTGAACTTTTAGAATAAAATGTTAAGGTCTCATAAGGCATATGAATGTGGCTTTGCCATTCAGGTAACGGGAGTGAGAAGAAGAGAAAGTTAAGCTTTAAAATATCTCCTTTCTTTTTTTATTGATTTTACTGAGCTCTACATTTTTCTCTGCTCCCCTCCCTGCCTCTCCCCTCTCTTCAGCCCTCTCCCATGGTACCATGCACCCAATTTACTCAGGAGATCTTGTCTTTTTCTACTTCCCATGTAGATTAGATTCATGTATGTCTCTCTTAGTGTCTTCATTGTTGTCTAGGTTCTCTGGGATTGTGGTTTGTAGGCTGGATTTCTTTGCTTTATGTTTAAAAACCACTTATGAGTGAGTACATATGATATTTGTCATTCTTGGTCTGGGTTGCCTAACTCAATATGATGTTTTTAACTCCATCTTACTTGCCTGCAAATTTTAAGATATCATTATTTTTCTCTGCTGTGTGGTACTCCATTGTGTAAATGTACCACATATTCCTTATCCATTCTTCAGTCAAGGGGCATTTAGGTTGTTTCCAGTTTCTGGCTATGACAAACAATGCTGCTGTGAACATAGTTGAGCACATGTTCTTGTGGCACGGTTGAACATCCTTTGGATATATACCCAAAAGTGATATTGCTGGGACTTGGGGACTTAGTCCCCAACACTAATCAACTAGAAACCCACGTCTCAGGATATTCCTCCGCAGACATAGCAGTAGTATAACCAAACACAACTATCATCCCCCCTAAATAAATTAAAAACACCATTAATCCTAAAAAAGACCCACCAAGCCCTAACACCGCTAAACAACCCGAACATCCACTAACAATCAAACATAACCCACCATAAATAGGCGAAGGCTTCAAAGAGGTGCCTAAGCAACCTGTACAAATTAACAAGCTTAAAAAATAAATTAATTCTGTCATAATTCCTACATAGACTTTAACTATGACCAATGACATGAAAAATCATCGTTGTTATTCAACTATAGAAACATCTAATGACAATCATCCGAAAAAAACACCCACTAATCAAAATCATCAACCACTCATTTATTGACCTCCCCGCCCCATCAAACATCTCATCATGATGAAACTTTGGCTCCTTACTTGGCCTTTGCCTAATCATTCAAATCCTCACAGGACTTTTCCTAGCGATACACTACACATCAGACACATCAACAGCATTCTCATCAGTTACCCACATCTGTCGAGACGTAAACTACGGCTGACTTATCCGCTATATACATGCAAACGGAGCCTCCATATTCTTCATTTGCCTTTTTCTCCACGTAGGACGAGGCATATACTATGGCTCCTACAACATAATTGAAACTTGAAATATAGGTATTATCTTACTGTTCGCTGTAATAGCAACAGCATTCATAGGTTACGTCCTACCATGAGGACAAATATCCTTCTGAGGGGCCACAGTAATTACAAATCTACTATGAGCTATCCCTTACATCGGCACAACCCTAGTAGAATGAATCTGAGGGGGGTTCTCAGTAGATAAGGCCACTCTCACACGATTCTTCGCATTCCACTTCATCCTGCCTTTCATCATCACAGCCCTCGTTTTCGTCCACTTATTATTCCTACACGAAACAGGATCCAACAACCCAACAGGTCTAAACTCAGACGCGGACAAAATCCCATTCCACCCCTATTATACAATCAAAGATTTTTTAGGGGTCCTTATCTTATTAATAGGTCTCATAATTTTGGTATTGTTTTTCCCAGATGTTCTCGGAGACCCAGATAATTACACTCCTGCAAATCCACTCAACACTCCAGCACACATTAAACCAGAATGATATTTTCTTTTCGCCTACGCCATTCTTCGCTCTATCCCTAATAAACTAGGAGGCGTCTTAGCCCTAATCCTGTCAATCCTAATCCTAGCCCTTCTACCACTCCTCCATACCTCAAAACAACGCGGACTCACCTTCCGACCAATCACACAAACAATATACTGAATCCTAGTAGCTGACCTACTCATCCTCACATGAATCGGAGGCCAACCAGTAGAATACCCTTTCATCATTATCGGACAAATAGCCTCAATCGCCTATTTTGCCATCATCGTCATTTTCATACCAATAGCAGGCATAATTGAAAACAACATCCTAGACCTAGACTAAATGCCCTGATAGTATAAACATTACACTGGTCTTGTAAACCAGAAATGAAAAACCTACTTTTCTCAGGTCATCATTGTTTTCTAATTTTCTGAGAAACTGCCACACTGATATCCAAAGGGGTTGTACCAGCTTGCACTCCCACCAGCAATGCAGGAGTGTTCACTTTACCCCACATCCTCTCCAGTATACGCTGTCATCAATGTTTTTGATCTTGGCCATTCTTACAGGTATAAGATGGAATCTCAGAGTTGTTTTGATTTCCATTTCTCTGATTACTAAGGGTGTTGAGCATTTCCTTAAGTGTCTTTCAGCCATTTTAGATTCCTTTGTTGAGAATTCTGCATCAACAGAAAAGAAAAAGAAAGAATTTGTTCTTTTGATGACCAATTTCTTGAGTTCTTTGTATATTTTGAAGGTCAGTCCTCTGTCTGATGTAGGGTTGATGAAGATCTTTTCCCATTCTGTAGGCTGCCATTTTTTCTTGTTGTCCATATCCTTGGCTTTACAGAAGCTTTTCAGTTTCAGGAGGTCCCATTTATTAATTGTTTCTCTCAGTGTCTGTGCTGCTGGGTTACATTTAGGAAGTGGTCAAGCTGATATTGTTTATGTTGCTGCTATTGCCTTTTTTTTTTCTTTTCCCATATTAGGAACCTAACAAAAGAGTCTAAACAAATTTTCTCTTTCCCTTCCTTCTCTTCCTTCCTTCCTTCCTTCTTTCCTTCCTTCTCCCCTCTTTCTCCCTCCCTCCTTCCCTCCTTCCCTCCCTCTCTCTCTGTCTCTCTCTCTCTCTCTCTCTCTCTCTCTCGGCAATTCTTCACTATTTAGCCCTGGCTGTTTTAGAATTCATTCTGTAGATAAGGCTGGCCTCCAACTCATCAGAGATCTTCTTGCCTCTGTCTCCGAGGTGCTGGGATTAAAGACATGCACCACCAACCTCTGCTCCCAAAACAAAACAAGCAAACAAATAAAAAAAAAGTTTTGCTTTTATTTGTTTGTCTTTTGAGACAAGGTCTTACCATGTGGCCCAGGCTGTCCTTGAATTTGTGGTCATCCTCCCGACTCGGCTTCTCAAGTGCTGGGGCTGCACATGTACCATGTCACATCCAGCCTGAACATTTCTTTCATGGCATTGTACATGCTCATCATTGACAAAGGTGTCCAGTAATAAGTAGGTCTTAATATTTAAACATATTTTGGTAAGTTCAATTTTAATATTTGAAATGAAAAAGGTTTTGGCTTAAGAGAATGTAATATAATAGGAAATTAATTGCCAATAAACCTGAGAAATTTTTGTCTTGGAATTTTTATTCTTTAATAAGTCTACGCATGAAAGCTGTAACTGATGATTGCAGGGCTAACATTAGTCACTGAGTCTAAGCACTGAGGAAATATAAAATTATTCAGGATGAAATAAGTCACTGCAAACGGCAGAAACCGGACAGTTTTATTAGGTCAGCAATATTTCGAGTTAGTCTTTTGAAAGACTTTGGAACAGTTTTAAACTTTCCAGTTACTTACACCTCTGGGTATTTTGTTTTGTGTTTTAGTTTTTTCCGAGATTAATTACAGAATTAACAGAACTACAGGAATTCTATGATCCGGATACCGTGGAACTCATGACCTGGATAAAGTAAGGACCACATTGTCCCAGCCTGTTGCTAGCTGTCATTAACCAGTTTTGCGTGCCGTCTCCTGAGATACGGGGCAGGGCTCGCTGACTTGTTCTCCACACTCGCTTGTAAGCCTCAGCAGCCATCACTCTCTAACTGTAGTTTCCTAAGCGAGCTCACCTCATGTTGACACGGCACTGGTAAGTGTGACAGTGGAGGTTTGCAGCCCTCCCTGTACACAGTGGGAATGCGGCCGGCCTGCTCCTCCGCTGAAAAGTCTGTACTGTCAGGGAAAGCATCAAATAACAGCATACCAGAGTTGCTGTGCTCCTCTGCTTGTTAGGTCTCGGTTAGAAAGAACCACAACAATAGAAAGTCAGAGTCATCTCTGAGTTTGTAGTAATGGATCTGAATTCACAAGTAGTGACCCAGTGGGAAGATTCTCCCAGTCTCAGCCAGCTCAGCTGGGACTGGATGCCTGAACTGGCCTCCTCTTCCTCTGTGTCAGCTGAGGTCAGATTGACCGGGCCTGTGGTCTAGTGGTGTGTGCACCTGTTTATGAGGTAGTAGCTGGGGAATTCCCAAGAGAAAGAGTAGACATGGTTCAGTGGAAGCTTGCTGTCTATAATAGTATGCTGTGATAAAACACCATAACCAAAAGCGGCTTGGAAAAGGAGGGTTGAATTTCACTTACACTTATATATCCCAGTCCATCACTGAAGGAAGTCAGTCATGAATGTGCAGGCAGGAGCTGACTCAGAGGCCATGGAGGAGTGCTGCAGACCCGCTTGCTCTTCATGGCTTATTCTGCCTGCTTTTCGGGGAGGGGGCTGGGGTCAAGACAGGGTTTCTCTGTGTAACAGTCCTGGCTGTCGTAGAACTAGCTCTTGTAGACCAGTCTTGTCTCGAACTCACAGAGCTCCGCCTGCCTCTGCCTTCCAAGTGCTGGGATTAAAGGCGTGCACCACCACTGCTCAGCTACCAGGCCTGCTTTTTATAGCTTTCAGGACCACCTTCTCAGGTGAACTGGGTCCACACACATCAATTATGAATGAAGAAAATTTACCACAGACTTGCCAGTCGTATGGGATACATTTTCGGTGAGAGTCCCTTCCCCCAAATATGTCTCTAGCATGTGTCAGGTTGACATGAAACTGGCCACAATTGTCCTGGATCATAGTGATCCAGGAAATCTCATGGCTAGGATTCGCATTTCCCTCCATGTGCATGGCTAAGGAAGAGAAGAATTACTGCAGCCATTTTTATGATCAGTCTGCCCCTGGATAGACTTCCAGATAACTATGTTGGGAGTTGTTAAAGAGCAAGTGAAGGAACAAAACACAAAAGAAGGGGCGAAACACTTTAAAAAGTCCTGGAAGAGGCTGGTGGCTACGGTGGCACATGCTTTTAAGCCCAGTACTTGGTAGACAGGCAGGTGGATCTCTGTGAGTTTCAGGCCAGCCTGATCTTCAGAACGAGTTCCAGGACAGGCTCCAAAGCTACAGAGATACCCTGTCTCACCCCGCACCCCCCGCCGCCCCCCCCCCCCCAAAAAAAAGTCCTGGAAGAGCCAAACCTGGAATCAAATAACTGTAATGTTGAATACTTGGGAGACTGAGGCAAGGAGATGATTGTAAGTTTGAGACCACTCTCAGCGTCAGCTACAGAATGGGACACTGGTGCTGCTGGTGCTGGGTTTTAAGGCCTGGAAAATAAAGGGGATAGAAACAAAAATTACCTATAGAAGTGACAAGTTTGTGTATAGAATGAGTGAATAAAAGTGAGAATAGGTCTTTTAGTGCAGTCTTATAAAGACATTCTTTATATAAAAATGTTTTTAGGTCACCTTAATCATTGCTACTTATACTTAATCCCAACACTCGGAAGGCAGAGGCAGGCAGATCTCTATGAGTTCAAGACCAGCCTGGTCCACAGAGCTGGTTCCAGGACAGCAAGGGCAACCCTGTTGGGGTGTGTATGTTTTGGGGGGAAAACATGGCAAAGGCTTGAACAGTTGGATATTTTATAATTGGGTAATTGTCTGATTGTGATTTTTCTGGCTTAAGTCTGTTTCCTTACTCCTGAGTCTTCCATTGGCCTGGTGCTGTTCCTTTCCTTCCCGAGCTTAGCTGTATGCACAGTCCGTAGTAGCCAGATACTGAATAGCACCTACTCGGAGTGAACAGATGATTCAGGATGGCTGGGGAACAGCTCAGAGATAGATTGCATTTGTGCTTGTGTCTTAGGTAGGGTTTGTGTTGTGAAGAGACTTCGTGGCCATGGCAACTTTTACAAGAAAAACATTTAACTTACAGTTTCAGAGGTTCAGTCCATTGTCATCATGGCGGGGAGCATGGTGGTGTGTAGGCAGACATGCTGCTGGCTAGGTCTTGATCAGAAAGCAACAGGAAGTGGTTTGTCCCACTGGGCCTTATCTTGAGCATATATGAGACCACAGGTATGGTGACACACTTCCTCCAACAAAGCCACACCTCCTAATAGTGCCACACCCTATGAGCTTAAGTGAGCCAATTACACTAAAAGTGGCCCAGCATGCGTGTGTCATGGTATGTGTGTAAAAGTCAGAGGGCAATGTACAGTTGTGAGTTATTGCCACTGTATGGGTCCTGGGATCAAGCTCATGCCATCAGGTTTGGCAGCAAGCATCTTTACATGCTGAGCCCTTTCTCCAGGCTGATAGAGTACTCTTTCATCGTACGCAGAGGCATGAAGTTTCATCCTAGCACTGTGAAAATAAATGGAAAGAGGAAGGGAGGACGTTACTTGTTGGTTTCCCACCCTGCAAGTGGACTCTGGAGTGGTCCACTCTGCTGTCGACAGGATGAGCAGGAGGGTGGATGGATGTGGAAGGATCTGAGTGATGTGGGTTAATGTTTGCAGAACAGGGATGTGAGAACCAGCCACCTCTCTGATGTAGTGTATTCTTGTTTCTTATCTTCACTCCCTTTGATTTTAAGAATTTCCTTATCTTCAGTACTTAAAATACCTGGTGGCATAAAGTAGATGTTCAGTCCTACCTGCTTCTTAGTAATGCATAGTGAAATGAGCTGCACTGCCTGTGAGGTCTCTGTGCCGTCTGTCGCCAGTAGCTGGTATTTGGGAGTTGGTATAAATCAGCGATCCGAAAGCATATAATAGCATATTGTGCTTTTATCATATAATCTCTGGTTCTTCATAGGAGGCAAGCTCCAGTTGCAGCCGTGTTTGCAGGAAGCCCACAGTTAATGGGTGTGATCAAACTGTGTACCGGGTGGACGGTGACGAGCTTGCCACTTTACAGCGATGACGATCTTCTCAAGAGAAACGAAAATGTAAGTCACTTCAGGTTCTATGTTTGGGTGTTTTAAAGTGACACTATCATTTAATCTTGTTCTGTGCTGCTACGTGCTTCTTGATAGCTAGGAAAATCCAGTTTTAGAAGATGTGGGTTCACTTTAGTTTCTAGAAGTTGTTGGCAGGTTGAAACAGGAGAGCCACTGTGAATCTGATGCCAGTCTGTGCTCCATAGTGAGTTCCAAACTAGCCAGAGCTCCATAGCAGGACCATCTCAAAAACAAAAAAACAGAAAAACAGGTAAAAGTTATATGCTTAATTTGCCCAAGAGAAAGCCCAAGATTAAAATGCTAAGCTCTCTGTTTTGTGGGTGTTGCTACACTTCTGTAGTTTCTGTCACGCTGTCAGTGGAATGGATGGATAATATTGCAAAACGGGGCACCAACCTTTCAAAGTATCATGGTTCTCACATTGTTGAAGAAAACTGTAAGTTCCTATCTCAATAGGTGTTGTCTTTCCAAAGTTATTCTATTGCTGATAACATAGAAATGTAATCTGGGCATTGTGGGGCTAGAGAGAGGGCACAGCGAGTAATTTGCTCGCCATTAAGTGTGAGCGCCCGAGTTTGCAGCCAGAGCATCATGTTAAGGACCAAGTGTGGTAGCCTGCGCCTCTGTCCCAGTGCTGGGAGTTGGAGACAGAAGGATCCTTGAGGCATAATGACCAGCCAGCCACTTTAGCCTAGTCAGGGAGTTTCAGATTGAATAAGAGACTGTCTCAAAAATAAGGTGAAGTGCTGAGTGGGAGGCTGAGGGTGGGCGGTGGTGGTACACAGCTTTAATCCCAGCACTCAGGAGGCAGAGACAAAAGGATCTCTGTGAGTTCAAGGCCAGCCTGGTCTACAGAGCAAAGCTCCAGGACAGCTAGGGCTGTTACACAGAAAAACTCTGTCTCAAAACAAAAACCAAACCAAAACAAAAAAAGACAAAAACAAAAAGCAAAACAACAACAACAAAAAGATGGCAAGAGATTGAGTAAATCAATTGATGTATACTCCTGCCCTGCCCCTCATGAGCACATGTGAACTGTTTTGATTTATCCAAACATGTTAGCATCCTTATAATGCAAGATATTTGGAAAATGGAGGCAGATAATCGCAATTTCAAGATCAAACTAGGAAAGAAGCTATTGCTTTGGGAAAAAGAAAATGTAACTCAATGGTACTGTTTGCCAGGCATTCATAAGTCTTTAGGTTCAATCATCTGTACTGCAAAAATCAATCAACCAACCAACTAACCTACCTGTGGGGCTTCTTGCTTTATTTTATTGGTGTGGGTTTCTATAGATAATTTTGTATAACATCAGAATGTGGTTTGGAGAATGTCTTTTTTGAATATTATGATTTAAATGATAAATTTAGGGGTTGGAGAGATGGCTTAGTGGTTAAGAGCACTGACAGCTTTCCTAGCACCCACATAGTAGCTCACACGGTCTGTAGCTCCAGTTCCAGGGACTCACGGTCTTCATCAGGTATGCTCATGGTATACAGACATACGTGCAGGCAAAGTATCCATATACAAAAAATAAAAATAATTTTAAATGATTATTTTAAAAAATAATAGTTATGGTTCGTCCTACTGAGGAGAATTAAATTACCAAAACAGTAAAACTTCAAAAGGCCTGTTTTTGTTTTTTTGTATTTAGAAAGAGGGTCTCAAGTAGTATGTATAGTCAAGGTTAACCTTGAACTCATGATTCTCTTGCATCCACACCCGCAAGTACTGTGATTATGAGAATGTTCCTCTGTGCTCAGAATGTACTGTTAAGTTGTGATTGTCTGTGCGTGCGTTTACACACATGCCCATTACACACATGCCCATTACACACATGCCCATTACACACATGCCCATTACAGAGAGTTCAGAGGCAGGAAGAATTAGTTTGCCTATAAAACCTAAGAAACCTAAGAATGACACATTCGACCATTCACTTTGATCTCGGCATTGAGGACTAATGAGATGCTTGCTTGGAGATGGAGTATGTGTGATTGCGTGCTGAGACAGTCTGTGTACCAGCTAGAAAAGGAGGCAGGCTCTGTGGGCCTGTGGAGTCGTGTGCAGGAATTTCGGTTGCCCTTGAGACAGTTGGGAAACATGAAAGACTGAATAATTCAGCCTTAGATGTGTTTGACTCCATATGTCTCTAATCCTAGCTTTTGGGAAACAGAGGTAAGGATTGCACTAAGTTTAAGGCCAGACTGGACTATAAGTGAAACTTTGTGTTAATCAGCCAAGAAAAAAAAAGGGACAAAGGGGAAGTTAATTATAGCAACCAGAGAACAGAGGGACCAGGCGGGGAGGACAGAGAGGGAGGTGAACCTATAGGTGGTCAGGTTAATGTTTGCTGTGCTTCAGAGAGAGGGTGGTGTTGGGTAGAATATGGACAGAATTCCTAAGAAACCATCAACTCTAGCTTTTTGTTTCTGAGACAGAAATCTCACTGTCTAGCCCAGGCTACCACAATGCCCAGTTTCTTTGTCTTCACCGATAGGACTTTTCCCCAGTATGGTGTTTCAGAATCAGTTATAAATATTCTGTTTTATGTTTTATGGAACTCAGCTCCAAGAATAGTAATCATATTTTGTTTTCTTTTGCTTTTTTAGAGTTTGCCTTCCTTTACGGTGTCTAGTCAGTAGTAGTTACTGGATGATTTTATCTAATCACAAATGAAGTTCTGTGCAGGTGAGACAGGGTTTCTAGTAAGACAGCATCTCTATCTTATAACACAAGGCTGTCTTTGTATGGTCTCTTACTTAACATTGTCAGCTCAGGAAGACTGCCTGGAGAGGACATTTGGTTCTGTCTAGATACGTATTTGTCCTGGAGAGGACATTTGGTTCTGTCTAGATACGTTTTTGTCCTGGAGAGGACATTTGGTACTGTCTACGTTTTTGTCCTGGAGAGAACATTTAGTACGGTCTAGATACGTTTTTGTCCTGGAGAGAACATTTGGTACTGTCTAGATACGTATTTTTCCTGGAGAGGACATTTGGTACTGTCTAGATACGTATTTGGTTGCATCACTATGGGTAGAATTCTGTGGGCATGGAGCAGGTGCAGACCAGAGGTGCTGGTAAGCATCCTTCACTGGTCAGGATAACTTCTGTCCTGTCCCCAGAATGAAGTATTTGGTCTAAAGTTTTTATCATACCAAAGGTGAAAAACTCTTCTAGTCTCTTAGTAATGTTGTCATTTCACAGAATTTTGTTTAAAAGATTCTTTTTAAATTTTTATTTGTGTCTGGGTTCATTTGGAGACAGAAGGGTACGTCAGATTTAAATTTTGAAAGGAGGCAATTATTTATTTATTTATTTATTTATTTTTGGAAACAGGGTTTCTCTGTAGCTTTGGAGCCTGTCCTGGAACTAGCTCTCGAACTCCCTGAGATCTGCCTGCCTCTGCCTCCCATGTGCTGGTATTAAAGGCATGCACCACTACCACTCAGCTAGGCAAAATACTTGTATAGGCATTTTTTTTTCTAAAAAAAAAATACAAGTGACTAATTTGCATATGAAAAGGTGCATAACTTCATTAACCATCAAGAAAATGAAAGTCAAAGCCACAATTAGATCCCCCTAGAGAGCACGTAGGATAGCTAAAATCAAAGGGACTGGTAAGCCAGGCTCGATGGTGTACACCTTTAATCCATCACTGAGGGTTATGGGGAGTAGAGGTGAGCGAGTCTCTGTGAATTCAAGGGCAGCCTGGTCTACATAGCAAGGTCGAGGACTGCCAGGGCTGTGTAGAGCCTCTGCCTCAAAAAGGACAAACAAGTGTTACTTAGGATTTAGATAGCTGGAACTGAACCCTAAGCACAGTTTGTAGGAAACTAGTCAGAGTCTTCGCAAAGTGAAGTAGTTACCTTAGGACACAGCAGTCCTGGTGGAAAGGAAGATGTGTGGGCTGTACAGACTCCTGTGTGAACACTCATGTTCATTATTCCTAATGGCCCCCAAGTACACGCAACCAAACCTCTTATTAACTGATGATAAGCAAAATGTCTTATCCTTGTGTTAATAGAATAAATACTTGACTCTGAAAGATTATATATATATATATACATATATATATATATGTATATATATATATATATATAACTTAAAGATGGACGAGTTAGGCAGGTTTTATGCCAAGTGGAGGAAGTCAGTCACAAAAGATTCCATGTTATAGACCCATGAGTGTCAGGTGTCTAGAATCGATACTTTTGTAGAGACCGAGTAAATTATTGGTTATAGAGGGCTAAGGCAGGTGGGTTGGGCGTGATCAGTAGGATCCACACCTTCTTTGGGATGATGCAGATGATCTAAAATTGTGTTCATAGGTGTGCAACTTTGTAAATATACTAAAAACCACTAGTTAGTGAATTATATGTGATTGAATTGTTTTTTATAATTGTGTGTATACCGGGTGGGGTCATGTGCATGTGAGCACCGCCATCTGAGGGGTTCTAAAGAGGACATCGTACTCCCTACAGATGGAGTTACAGCCCTTGTGAACTACCTGACTAGATGCTGGCCATCTGCAGGAGCAGGTCATGCGCTTAGCATGTGCCTTATTAAAGCTGTATAACTTCAATTAACAGGTGCTTTAAGTGTCTTTTAAATTTTGTCTTAATTATTTCCTCTCAGATTTACCAGATCTATTCAAAGCGATCTGCTGAGGACATTTATAAGATACTAACGTCTTACAAAGCTAACTACCTAATTGTGGAAGATGCCATCTGCAATGAGATGGGAACCGTGAGGGGCTGCAGGGTTAAAGATTTACTAGATGTTGCAAATGGACATGTAAGTAACCATTTCAAAAGCTGATTGTTTCTTTGGAAAATGACTTGACTTAGCCTTATAATCGTCCTACATGAATTTTCCCTGCTTCAGCAAGTGACCCTCCCTCTCCAGTCGCAGTAGCTACACTGCTTACCTAGTAACCAAGGAGGCCAAAGGAGTCTGCAAGTCCGATAAACAGTACCCACAGGAGTAGATGCTTTTACTCCTGAAAAAATTAGCCTGGAGGACTTGAGGAAAAGATGAATAGATCACTCTGAGTTGTAGAGAAAATTCTATCTAGGCTGTAGCCAGGATTTCTTTCTTTCCCCTTCTGAAATAATCATATTCGTCTTAATAAGCCGAGACGGGTTTGTAGATGAAGAGCTTATTTTCACATTCCCATCCTTCAGCATTGGAGAGGTGGCTCAGCATTTCAAGCCCCTCTTGCCCTCATCAGAGGACCCAGGTTCAGGTCTCGGGCCTCACATAGCCACTCACAACCTTCTGTAACTCAGTCTGAGGGTGTCCGGTGCCCTCTTCTGTCCTCTGAGTACACTGCATGCATGCAGGGCACTCATAGGGGCTTGTGCGTGTGGGGCACATGCCCTTCATGCATGCAGTCAGTGTCCTCAGACAAAATACACACATGAAATAAAAATAAATCTTTAACATATTTCCCATTTTCATCTCTTCATGACCCAGGAAGCTTGCATTGTAAACTTACTTATGTGTATATTTTGAATATTCTCAGGGGTACTTGATAATGTGATTTGGTTTACTGGTGATAGATTTTTTTTTTCAATTTTATTTTACATTTCGACTGCAGTTGCACACCCCCCTCCCCAATCCACTCCTCTGCTTCTGTTCAGAAAGGGGCAGGCCTCCCATGGGTATCAATAAAGCATGGCATATCAAGTTGCCTTTATGTTATTTTGGAGCCCACCTCTTTGCTCTTTCTTTCATGTGTTGCCAGGCATGGGCTTGAGCTACTTTTCTATTGGCGTTGGTTGTCTGGGGTCTGGAATAGGTATACAATATTACAGACACAAGCAAGCATGGGGCAGCAGACTGGCTTAGTGGGTTAGGTTTGTGTTTCCAAGCCTGACAACCTGAGTTCATCCCTAGCACTTCTAAAAGTTGTGTCCCCCCGTCCCTCACACACACACGAATATAATGGAAAACCCACAGAACTTAGGTTTAGTTGTGCTGTGGTGGTGAGCACTGTAGATGGGAATGTAAAAGCCTAACACTAGGCAATGTCACGTGTGTGCTTGCTAGGTGACTGCATGGGGGGGATGGTATGTTAATTTTTCATCCTTAGAAGCTGTGTGAGTTCTTCAGAGCACTGGTGACAGGTGATAGAAACAATGGCAGCTAAATTTTAGTATTAAATCGTTACAAACTGCAAGTATTTTATGCTTATTTCTCAATCAGAGTTCAGGAATTCAGTGGTCATGAAGACATAGGAAAAAGGCTTAAATTTGCTAAACAGCCTGAGGTGTTTTATAGTCATATTTAGCAATGATAATTTTCATATCTATATATATATACTAGTACAAGGATTATATTCCTCAAAAATTTAGTAAGTTTTTTTATATTGTTTCTTATTTTTTGATAGGTGCTTTGTGAAGAAGACAACAAATTAACCTTTTCAAAGTACGGACGGTTTTGTCACGAGGTCAAGATTAACTATTCTCCATATGTGAACTACTTCACTCGTGTGTACTGGAACAGGTCCTACTTTGTGTATAAAGTCAACACTGTGATTTCCTTCCAGTCTTGAGAATAGCAGAGCCTTCGCTGCAGAGACTGCTACTTGAAGTCACATGCAGGTTCTGGCCCTGCACGGTGTCCTGCGGCGGAGTGGATGTCTGAACTGCTGCTGCTGCTGCACCCACGCCTGCTGCTGGTTCCTGGGTTTAGGGTTTTGTTTGACATAGATGAGATGTCGCTGTCTGAGTAAAGTGTCAGATCCACCACGGCAATCTTCCTGACAGCTTTCTTCCTTACTATCTCCTCATGAAGCTTAGCTATCATAATATTGATCTTTCATTTGGATATTTTTCAAGGTCAGTGTTTACTTCAAAAGCATAATTTTTAATAAGTACATAATGTGATTTAAGTCTATAGTAGAAGAGGAAATTCACAAAGCAAGTTTGTAACATGTGAATTTTTTACAATTAAAAATAATTTAAATGTTAGTTAAAGATATGTGACATTTAAATTAGAAGGGAAATAACATAAGGGAAAGTGATTGTTTTTATTATATTGTTCCTGTCATCTGCTGCTCGAGTGATCTAGCATATTCTTAACAACACATAGGATGAATTAGCACTTTAATTATTCCATGGCTATTAAGTGATTACCTTTCTCACTTATGCCCATTAAATGGCTAACAATTTAATCATGCTAAAACAACAACTTGTGTTTGTTTATATATTTATGTGTGTGTGTGTGTGTGTGTGTGTGTATGGACACATATGTACACCCATATACATACGTATGTGTGGACATTTCAAAGAATTTTACGTTTTTGTGATGGTGGAGTATGCAGTCTAATCACATGTTTTCTATGAACGTATGAAGTAAAAATAATGAACACTGTCACAGTAGTGATATGTACACTGCCATGGGCATCGTTTTCTGGAGGTGTTGCAGACGCCTTTAAACCACCTGGTTACAAAGTATAGCCAATGAAGAGGTGTTATTTATGAAACATTATATGTTTAACAGTGAGAGCAAAGTGAGGGTTAAATAAAACTTCACCATTTCACAGTACAAATGCTAATATTCCTTTGTGTATTTGCATTTTTTTATCATTAAAAGAAATTCTAAGCCAGGGCAGTGACTCGCACCATTAATCCCAGCACTGGGAAACAGAGGCAGGCAGGTCTCTGAGCTCCATGGCAACCAGGGAACATGGGGAAGCTGTTTCAGGGAGGAGAAGAAGAAAGGAATTGTAGATTAATTTGGCTTTTTAAAGAGATTGAGGAAGGTGAAGCCTGTGGAGAAACGGTTTGACTGAAATGAGTATTTAATCTTATGTTAGACAGTTGTTGAGGTCTCTACCTTATTTGTTAGCGTCCTAAGAAGTTACATTTTCAGAACTCTAAATCAGTACTTTAGGAGGAAAATAATCTCTTTTCTTTCTGTAGTAGATATGTACAGATATATTTTTCTTTTTCAGGTATGTGCACTTACAGTAACTTTAAGATGCTTTACCATTGTGGGGCCTAACTGACATTTTCATCCCTCTGGTCTAGCGTCAGTGGGTCTGTCCGCTCTTTTACCTTCTTATTTTCACGACAGAAAGCAGTTGTGGGCCGGGCGTCTCAGGCTGACGCTGAGCACCTTGGTAGTCAGTAGTGGTTAGCATCAGGCTTTGTGAAAAATGACCAGTGCTCAAGTACACAGTACACAGTGAGTAGCCATTTGGTCATTCTTAGGATCAAATCATGCACAAGCCGGGCGGTGGTGGCACACGCTTTTAACTAGCGCTTGGGAGGCAGAGGCAGGCCTCTGTGAGTTTGAAGCCAACCTGGTCTACAGTAGCTAGATCTAGGACAGGCTCCAAAGCTTCAGCAAAACCCTGCCTTGAAAAACCAAAAAACAAACAAACAACAACAAAGCAAAACAAAACCATGCGGAAGCAGCTTACATACTGTAAAGGAAAGTACAAACCCTGTTTCCCTTGTAATATGAAATATTCAATTGAATTTTTACTGACATGGTAACGTGTGTGGTATTTTAGTTTCTGTTTTTTTTTCCTGAAATAATAATTTGCTTTGCTCCCGTCAATATATTTCTTAAATAGACACAAAGAATTTCTTAATTAAAAGTTTATAGTTAGTCCCAGGCATATGGTGTACTCTTTCATCCCCAACTCTGAGGAGGCAGAGGCAGGTGGACCTCTGGGTTCAAGGCCAGCCTGCTCTACAGAGTGAGTTCCTGGACAGCCAGAGCTGTAGAGTGAGACTCTCTCAAAAAACCAAAAAAAAAAAAAAAAAAAGTTAAAGTTTATAATTAAATTTTCCCTCAGAATCAACTGAAACAGAGACATAAGCTTTATTGTAGCGATTATATTGGCTGTGACTGTGTAGGTCAGGGGCAGAGGGCTCGGGTAGCAGGTACAAGGCCCTGAGTTCAGTCCCTGGCACTACCGAAAAAAAGACAAAAATGAAGGAAAGAGAAGAATAAAATGTTAGGTATGAGAGATAAGTTGAATTACTTCAATCTTAACTGTCACCAACACTAGAAAACTATTAATTGCTGAGAGCATTTAACTTTTTACTTAGTAACGTATAGAACAAGTGAAAAAATCTGCAAGTAGTTGTAACTGGGCGCCTCGCAGCCGTCAGGTTCAGCAGTGCAGGAACAGAGCTTGTGGGGTTGGGGAGGAAGGAATTCCTCAAAGAAACAAAACATTTTGCTCTTAATGTAACAAACCTATCGAAATAAGTGCCTTATCGTCTTTATTTCTAAATTTGATATTTTATATCAGCCACTATTGGTAACTTTTTGTACATTGGTGAAATAGAGGAAGGCTGAGGAGGAAGTCCCACGGTAGAGCACTTCCTTGAGATTTACCCCACTGTGCACTGTCACCATTAGCTTCAGTAATGAGCAAATCCGTGTCCGGAATGTGCAGTCTCCTCACTAAGTCATTCAGCCTCTCGGGCGCCAAGTAGTCCGCGAAGAGAGACTGAGTTGTTAGGGATGTGATACGGGCTCTGCGAGTTTAGTACTTTTCTTATGACCTGGCATCTGCATCCTGGTGTTGGGCATTGTACTGGCAGAGTCATACAGTCTTCAGCCCTGACTCGGCACACGCATGCACACAGGCACTTCTTTCCCGACAGTAACCCAGATTGCCGGTCACCTCAGCGTTCTGACTCTTCCATACCAGCCAGATTCAGTCAATAAACAATGGAGAAAAAGAAGTCAAAGTGTTAACCATTTGGGCTGAAAAATATGCCTCGAATAGATTATTAATTTCTTGTATAACTCTGTTACTAAATTAGTTTTGAGAAATCTTTGAGGCCTCTTATTTTTGAACTGGTAATACTTTTTGATGCCTCTTTTTGTATAAAAGTATTTTTTTCAGTTGGCGGATTTTTAACAGTTCTATGTAAATCGATCTTTTGGTAAATTTATTTTTAATGCATGAATATTTCATGGACATGTGCTACTAATTCTGTATATGTAGGAACCTTTTTTAAAGCTAGTAATTACTTTTTAATTTATATCAGTGTAGCCTTTCTTTCTTTATCCATCTTTTAACATTTCTAGTCTTGCTGTGTTTGGTGGTACACACCTGTAATCACAGCACTTGGGAGATAGAGACAGGAGGATCAAGTCTTCAAAATCATCCCCAGCTACATAAATGAGTTTGAGGTCAACCTGGGTTGCATGAGCCCCTTTGTAAAGAAAAAAAATCCAAAAGTTAAATGCAGAATCTCTGTTGTTGTCATTTGCTAATACCGTTTAGACTCAATATGTACTAGAATTCTGGCTCTGGCGTGGTGGTGGTGACACACACGTTTAATCACAGCACTTGGGAGTCAGAGGCAGGAGAATCTCTGTGAGTTGGAGACCAGCCTGCACTACAGAGCAAGTTCCAGGAAAGCCAAGGCTATACAAAGAAACCCTGTCTTAAAAAAAAAAAAAAGATTTCTGACTGTGCAAATTACAAGAAAAATCAAACAAGTTCTTACTTAAATTACTGAGTTTTTTTTAATGTATAAGGTTAATGCTTTAAATAAGATTAGATGCAATGTTACAAAGGAATATATATGCTATCTTATTTTCTAAATAACAAAGTTGCTTTTGTAATAAAATGTACATGTCGGAGCCAAATGTGTTGACTTTAGTATAAAGGTTTCATTGCATTGTTTCTGCTTCTGTCTCTTAGAATGGTAACATTGTAATCTTGACATGTAGAATACTGTGTGCAATTCTATGAGAAATACACTTTACTTGTGATTGTTATCTATATTTTATGAAATAATGGCATAACATAAACCTTCAGTATCTAATATAATACCCTTCTCTGTTTTAAGCCAATGCCTCGTTCAGCTGCTAACAATGAATAGAGGTGTGGGTGGTCTCTGAGTCCTGTCTACAGTGTGTGTATTTAGAGTAACTGTGTTCTTCCTGCAACTATGTTACGTTGCCAAAAATGTGTAAAATGTCAGTAAATACAAATACTTTAAAAGAGTTTCCTAGAAATAGTTTTTTTTCCAGATTTTGTAACATTAGTATCCTTTTATCAGTAATGAAGTTCTTTTGTGCTCGTTTAACCTCATTTTGTCTTAATAAAACCTCTCAGAATTTTAAGCTGTCTCTTTCTCATACTTGAACTTCCTTGTTAAGTTTGTTGAGATATAATTAATGCATCATACAACTCACTCATTTACGTGTACCGTAGCTGTGAGAGCTTCTTCCACCCCTTCAGCCAATAGCCTTTAAGATACCAACCCACTTGGGCGTGGTCTTGTATACAATAAATGGCAGCTGTGAAGCCTGCATGCTCTCTCTTTCTTCTGGCTGTTAGACTCTGTTCCTGTTCCCTGTTCATGCAGAGGATTGTGATCTAGGACAGTGATCTGTGAGTCTCCCCTAAATATATAGCCTTTTATTATACATAATTCTGAACTAGTGTGGGATTATTTTATATCTTCTGCCATCCTCTGGCCCACGTGGATTCGAACTCCACACCTACTGGGTGAACTGGCTTAAAGGCCTAACCGGTCCACAGCCCAAAACATCTCCCACCCCCACCCACATGGCTTGCTTTTGTCTACTAAGTGGGTTTTCTATAAACCACCACCACAGCGGAGCTAAGTGCCTGCGGCGACTTGGAAATTTCCCAAGCTTATGCACATCTCTCCCTGCCCCCCCCCCGCCACATACAAAATTGACTTAATTGCTTTTAATTTGTCAAGCAAAGCATATTTTTCAGTATTTAACCAGCACCAAGGTGAGAAAATTAAAGTGGCTCAGGACTGTTCATAGCACCACCAGTTTGCACCGCTGGCTGTGACTCTGCAACCACAACATCTGCTAGAGAATTAAGATTATTACACCTAAAACAATTTACCAGACCTCATAATATAACATAAGGTAAATATTTTATTAGTTAGTAAATCGATAAACTTGAAAGTTTTATAATGGCAGATAATATTACCACAGAGAATTTTAGTGCCTTTTTTTGTGATACATCCATTGGATATTGGGACTCAGTTTTTTCTTCATATTATATCCTTAATAAAATTGTTTGATAACAGAGCCAAGAATGAGGCACTTTTAGAATGATACAGTCTTTATAGACTAATAATGAACAGCTAGTTGACAGGATTAATACCATCAAAACTCAAAAGTTGCTGTAAAAATACTATGGAAAAGGGTAACATTAATTTGACAGACAAAATTGAATCCATGTCAAAGGGCACTGAGAAATTATCTGAAAGAATTTATACTGTTGAATTTGACAATGAAAATTCGTTAAAAAACAAAGTTATGATAGATTAGCAGATAGAGTATCTCTCCAGGAAGGCAATCTGCACACTATCCAAACAATATCCAAGGATGAGATGTTATCTTTAAAGAAACAACTTCAGACCTTGGAATCACATGTGCAGAATGAGGACCAGAGGTTAGGTGCCTCAATTAAATCATTAGAGATATATATAGGCCGGGAGATTCATGCTTTATAAAAGACAGTAGTAAAAAGATTTGAAAAGATTGAGGAAATTATTGGAGCTGATAAACAGGGAAAGAAGGTACAAGGACAGGATTTAACATCCCCAGTACCTGTCAGAGATGACGTATGCAGGGTTTTAGCTTCCTACCCTGTAATCTACCCTGACAAAGCATCAAGTTCTAAAGGCCCAGAAAGATCCAAAGATGGTAGATGGATACCTATAGGAATGAATGATCTAAAAGAAATTAAGTAAACTGTTGTAATTTATGGCTTGCATTCCACATTTGTTAGGGAGATGATAAAGACATAGGCTTCTAGCATTAAAGCCATGCCACAAGACTGGCTTCAGTTTCAGCAGTCCTGGATGACGGGCCTCAACTGATGTTTAAATATTATTTCAGGGAAGAGGCTAAAGTTTTAGAACAACAGGGAAAAGCAAAAGGCCTGAGACTTCCTAAGACCAAATTCTTGTTGAGGGCACTTGTGCTGACCCGTAGGCTCAAGTGCTTTACGATGAACAATTCTTGTCCCTACACCACAAAGCAGCCTTAAATGTTTGGGACAGGATTCAAGAATCAAGAAAATGAATTGAATCCTATACCAGGGTTAAACAGGGCCAGATAGAAGTCGTTAGTGATTTTTTTACAAAGATTAACTAAGGGTGTACAAATAGTAGTAACAGACCCAGATGCTAGATGAGTACTCATTGAATCTCTGGCTTTTGAAAATGCCAACTTAGAATGCAAAAAGATAATTGGGCCTTTAAAAGTTAGATCAGCACCAATGGATGAATGGATTCTGCATACAATGAACATTGAGACATTTGACTATAATACTGAATCTTGGGTAGGAGAAGCAATTTCCAAAGGTATGAAGAGACATCAAAATGCCAAATGTTTTAATTGTAGAATAGGACATCTGATAAGGGATTGTAGACAAGGAATTTCTAAGAATAATATCTCCTCTGGGAATGACAAATATAGGAGAACTTAGCCTTCAGGTATATGTAGAAGGTATGGCAAAGTCCAACATTGGAGCAATGAATGCAGATTAACAAAAGACAGACAACGCAATCTGATACCATTGGGAAACTCCTTGGGGGACCTCTCACAGGCTCCCAAGTCAAGAGTGGTCCAGTCATTCCCAGTCAGTGTGGAGGACATGTCTCACCAAGAAAATTAAAAAATCCAGAGCCTTCTGTAAAAACAAACCAAAAAACAAACAAAACAAAACAAAACAAACAAACCATACTGTTCTAGATGATGGAATAAACATGGAGTCAAAAGTTCCAATAGGAGGGGCTGGAGAGATGGCTCAGTGGTTAAGAGCATTGCCTGCTCTTCCAAAGGTCCTGAGTTCAATTCCCGGCAATCACATGGTGGCTCACAACCATCTGTAATGAGGTCTGGTGCCGTCTTCTGGCTTGCAGACATACACACAGACAGAATCTTGTATACATAATAAATAAATAAATAAATAAATAAATAAATATTTTTTTAAAAGTTCCAATAGGAAATATGAAACATGTAGTCTGGCAGACTTCTATAAATGATCAAAGACCAAAGCTAAGAGTGCGTAAAAATGGCATTGCAATTGTGGGTTTGGTAGACAGGTGCGGACATGAGTATCATTACTCCAAAATCGTGGCATCCAAATTGGCCTCTTCAAGAGGAAGATGTTCAATTACCAGGAATTGGAGCCTTATCTCAAGTGAAACAAAGTACAAGATGGGTTGATTGCATAGGGCCAGAAGAACAGAGAGGAGAGCTGAGGCCATATGTGGCTAATATTGCAGTGAATTTATGGGGTCATGACCTGATGCAGCAGTGTAATACCCAGATTAACATTCCTGCAGTCCCAAAAACTCATAATTCTGGGAAGGATATTATAAGGTACTATACACAAAGGTCACTAGCGATTCAGACTGTACAAGAACACAAAGCAACTAGCAAACCTTCAGAGGTAGCAACAGCCTTGCCTTTAAAATGGTTATCTGAGAAACCAATGTGGGTTAAGCAGTGGCCTCTAGCTGAAGATAAGTTGCAAGCTCTAGAACAGCTGGTACAGGAGCAAATAGATGATCAACCAGCCCTTGGAATTCTGTATGTTTGTTAAAAAGAAATCTGGTAAATGGAGAATGGTGACAGATCTAAGAGCAATTCAACCTATGGACCCTCTACAATCTGGAATTTCTCTGCTTTCTCTATTATCAAAAGAATGGCCTCTTATAGTTATGGATTTAAAAGATTGTTTCTTC